CAATTTAACTATGATGAAATCAGTTTGTCAGATAATCCCTAAATGTATTTTTAAAAAAGGAGTGAAATATCTTGAAAGTATTCAAAACAGTAAAAAAATGATCATATATCAATCATTTTATGTAATTTAGCCTCTGTTTAAATTGTCCTGCTTATATTGTTTATAAAGCTGACCATCTTGGAAAACGTGGACCAAAGATAGAATGTAGGATATAATCAAATTAACTCAGGATTAGTTTAATTCTGTTTGCATTTCTTACTGGTTCGAGGCGGTTTTTGTCAAACTTTTAAATAATCTTCCAGGTACTAAAGTTCTTATTGGAGATAATCTAAGCAGTCATTTTAGTGAAAAGGTACTTAACTTAGCTGAAGAAAAGAGTTTTGTTTGCTTAATTGCAAGCTCTATCTATTTATTACAACCATTTTTATCCTGTATTTTACAGACCTTTCAAAAGATATTTAATAAAAATACTTGATTAATCGAAAACCTCTTGTTTAAAAAAAGCACAGACACTTGCAAAAACTAAATTTCCTCAGGAGGAAATTTTTTATTTAAAGTTTTTTTTTTTATAACTTTGAAGTCCAAGATGGCCAAAAATAATTATTTTTGTAAAATAAATTTTTATTTTTTCAATAGTTGAGATAACTGTTATCAGATTGATTTTTAAGTATTTAAGATTTTTTTTATTTATATGGATTTAAAAACAAGAATTTTTTGAAAAAGACAATAAATTGCTCAAAATAGGCTAAGACAATAATTTTTTAAATTGCCATAATTTTAGAATGCTTTTCTTGAAATTTACACCCCTATAAGTGGTGTAAATTTCAAGAAAATCTGAGATGGTCACCCGGGAAGGTTTGTCTCATTTTATATTGAATGACCCTACTATATAAAAACTGTATATACTTATATATGTTTGTCAAGTAAAAAGACAATCTGCTATTTAGTAGCTGATTTTGAAAAATGCAGCATTTACCCATTAAATGTAAGTATTGCTATTAATTATTTGCCTTACGCTGATAAAAAAAATATTAAAAAACCTTTTAAAAAATATTAACAAATCAGTAGTTACAGGTGAATGCACCGCAAAAACTAAGACACCCCAAAAACAAGGTGGTCAGTTATATGGCTCTAAAAATTTAAATCTGTACTTAAAAACCACGAAAGAAATGTTTTTTGATACATGAATGTTCCAGTAACAATTAAAATAAAAGAAAATTAAGATAACAATATAAGAAAATTTTTACAAATGTTTTCAGTTAAAAAAAGTGTACAAATTTTTTTGAATTTTTAAGAATAATTGCAATAAAATAGTGTTTTCAGCTATCTGCTAAATAAAGAAGCTTTCATGTTAGTTCTAGCTAATATATGGAACAAATGGGCAACCAAAGAAACTATTATAAAATCTGCTAGAAGGGTTGGTGTCACTGAAAACTCATTGAGTGTTAAATTTATGCAAAAAGATAAATTTGAAAGAGCAGAAAACTGTATTGAAGCAGAGAAACAGCCATCTCCCTTAATTTCTTCGCCTGATAAAAGACGTGGTTCAGCAAGTTACTGGAAATCAAAGTTCAAACAAGCTATGGAACTGATTGATGAACTTCATGAAAAAAGTATTCAACTGGAAGAAATACCAGGTTTTATGGTAACCAAAATGGTAAAGCCTAAATTATCAAAAGATATGACAAGTGTTACCCAAGTTCATGGTTAAATGACAGCAAACAATATATTAACTGTAGTTGAATCCATAAAAAGAATCAAAGAAAAAAAGTTAAAAGAAAAAGAAGATGCTGCAAAATAAAAAGAGTTTCTTTGGTTGCCCATTTGTTCCATATATTAGCTAGAACTAACATGAAAGCTTCTTTATTTAGCAGATAGCTGAAAACATAGATAAACAGAGTCTTTCTGTTAACAATATTCGCTATGAATGTTCTTATTTACTTGGTCAAAAAGTTGAGTAACTCCTGTTGTGCCTGGTGGAGTGACAAAGAGACAAGTTTTCTTCAACTCAAGGAAAGATAAAACATCAAAGTCTAGTCTTGAGATATGTCCATCGGATAATAAGATTAAATAATGGTTCAAAGGTTTTGCAAAAGTCAATATGACACCAAAACTAATTAAGTTAGATAAAACCCTCAGTCTGTAAAAGAGATGATTCTGGGTAATCCCGACACATTAAATTTTTTTTTTTTTTGGTATTTTATTTTGTTATAGTTGTGGAATCACTATGGAAAATTTCAAGTCAAATGTAATAATGGTTCAAAAGTTATTCAAAAGTCAATATGACACCAAAACTAAGTAAATAAGTAAAAACCCTTAGTCTGTAAAATAGACAATTGTGGACAATCCCGACAGTATTAACAAAAAATTTTTTTTGCACTTTATTTTCTTATAGTTGTTGAATCACTATAAAAAATTCCAAGTCAAATGTAATAACGGTTCAAAAGTTATTCAAAAGTGAATATGATCCAAAAATACTCTCTTTTTCGGTGCCATAACACTGCAAATTTTCCATACTTAAGCCCGTATACCTTTCATCAAAAATCATTCATTTTTTTATTACAAAAAATTCAATAACTTTGGATCCGCTCAACTTCAAAGACTGAATGACCCCTCATTTTTTAAGTCAAGTCAAGCTCTATACAATGATATAAATTTTATATGCTTATTTGAATTATAAAAAACTCAATGGGCATATATATTTAAACTTTTTTATGGATGATAAATAGAAACTATCTTCGAGTAAACTATATAAATATTTTATTAAATTATTTCAAATCTTTTCCATAATCATCAAAAAACCAACGTGGTTTTTGGCGTGCATATGATGTGGTTTTGTAGTACATTTTAAGTGTTCTATAAAGTATAAGTTAGCAGTGATACAATCATCCTAAGAGCAATTTATTATAACAATCTTCTTTAAAAAATCAGGTTAAAATTCTTAACAGTTAAGAAATTATAGCTAAATTAGTTAATGTAGTTTTTGGGGTGCATGGCGAAAAAAAGAGTCAGCTTCAACATTCAAGCAAAAGAAAACAAGTGAGATATAATAAACTATACCTATCAGGAAGAACCCCATTTAGGTTTATCTTTCAATAGTAATAACTTAAAAAATATTATTTTTCTCAAGAAAAAAGTTCTAGGTTCTCCTACTTTCATGTGTTTTTTGGGGTGCAACCACCTGTAATGTACTTAATCGACAGTATGGAAAAAGTATTTCTTTAGAGGATTATCAAGTAACATTTAAAGATGCCCCACTTTGCATCATCTTCTCTAAGTGTAACTGTTATAATTGCATTTGTGTGGTTTAATATTCCTGTACATAAAGGACAAAGGAATGATGACTCATGCAAGTCCTGTTAAACATGCCCATTAAGACAAAAAAAAACTTTGGGTCTTCATTATAAAATAATATTATATTACTTTAGTAATAATATTATTTTATAATGAAGTAATATTCAAAGTTACCCCATTTAGCACAGGTTTACATAACCTGCAATTCGTCTTTTAAAAAAACGGGGGTTAAACAATCAGGTCATGGATTTTTGGTGTTCAAGATAGGTAACGGCAATTACTTTACCTTTGGCTGCAACCTTGGTTTTAGTTCCCTCCTCCTAAAATTTTCTTTTCAAGATTGAAGCAAGTTCGGCATCTCGTGTATTTTAATATCAAAAGAAACTAACATACATTTTTTCAGTTTTCTCAAATATTTTATATAAATTTCTAAATTTCAAACTTGAAATATTAAATCAAGAATAATAGATATACCCTATTACTCTTGATTTAATATTTACCCTAACTTTATCAAGTTCTTCTGTTAAATTTTCTCTTCTCATTATGAGAATGCAAGGGTGCAGTAGTCCTTGTCCATTGGCAATCTTGCACCTTTTACATATTTTTATTTTTCCAGGTGATGATGCCTTCCCAATTTGATTCTCCCTCTGTTTTCTGATGTTGATCCTGGAGTAATTGTAGTTTGAACAACTTCAAAATTGTTACAAACACAGAATGATTGGTTTCTGGTCAAAACACTAACTTTGACTTTTGAGAAATCATACGGTATACTTAAAACAATATTTTTATCTCATTTTTCAAAACTTTCTAATGCTTTTTTACATTTACCACAAATGTCATTAGGAAAGTTTTCACTGTTTAAATCAAATGATTTTAAAAAGAACTTATGTATTCTGTTAATGTCACACTTCCTTAACTTCTGTCATTTCTGATTCTTTTGAAAAATAAATTAGGCAGACTAAGGCTCTATTAATTTTATAAAATTTGTTAATATTTGGCATTTTGAAACGATACGAGCAATACTAAAACATTTTATTTTTTCAATTAAAATACTTTTTTAACTTCTGCAGTAGATGCAAAAAAGTTCATAATATCTATTAATAAGTACCACAAGGAAGTATTCAAAACTGAGGAATCTTGTTTATACATTTAACCTGTAATTTAAAAGTTTTTAAAACAGTTAACTTATTATTTAAAATTTGCCATAAAAATAGGGCCCCAAGGTCCAAATATTTGTTAGGGAATGGGGCAATAATAGCATTTTTTTAAAAAACTCTAACATTATAAACGCGACTAAATTTCCTCTGTAAAATTCTCATTTAGTAAAAAATTTGGTTGCAATTTCTAAATGATATCAAATTTATTTTAGATATATTAGTTTTTTCGATGAACTTCGATATATTTTAAGTTGCTGCAAAAAAAAAAAAAAAATTTCTTATTTCCACATTTGGGATAGTGGAACCCGATCTTTCAAGTAAATATTGTTCCCAGGCTCCGATCACAGTAACTTTTTGTAAAACATTCTTTTTTGATACCAGCATCAGTATTACAAAATTTAAATGTTTTCACCATCTCTGGGAGTTACCTATTTTGAACACCAAATATCCATGATTTT